GGTGGGTTGATGGGTGGAGGAGGTGGGTTGGTGTGTGGAGGAGGTGGGTTGATGTGTGGAGGAGGTGGGTTGAGGTGTGGAGGAGGTGGGTTGAGGTGTGGAAGAGGTGGGTTGATGGGTGGAGGAGGTGGGTTGATGGGTGGAGTGGGTTGGTGTGTGGAGAGAGGTGGGTTGAGGTGTGGAGGAGGTGGGTTGATGTGTGAGGAGGTGGGTTGATGGGTGGGAGGTGGGTTGATGGGTGGAGGAGGTGGGTTGAGGTGAGGTGGAGGAGGCACAGATGTTCATGACCCCACCTCCTTCCTCTTACCTCACGCTCTTTCCTCCTCACCTCACCCTCCCTCCCCACCCCTCCTCCACCCCACTCTCCCTCCCCACCTCACCCCCTCCCTCCACCTCACTCCCTCCTCTCTCAACCCATTCCTCTGTCTCACCCCCACTCTCCTCCCTCTCACCCCACCTCTCCCCTCATTAACGAAATCTAAGTTTTCACAACGAAACCAACGAAGTGTCTCTAAATATATGCAATAGCCCCCTACTAACGAAGGGAAAACACACACACACACACACACACACATACACACACACACACACACACACACACACACACACACACACACACACACACACACACACACACATCTACTGTGGCCAAGTCTTATCGTCTCCCGGAAGTGCAGGAAAGAAACAACACCATTAAAAATATATATCATTAAAACTCATTATTGGTTATTTATCTTATACTCTTAAACGATTAAACGGAATTATATAAAAAATGTAGATGTCACGAGAACATAACTGTAATGCTATAATTATTTCATGAATAAAAAAATAAAATCCGAATAAGATATTACTGTATTACGTATTTATATTGAGAATTAAAGGTAATTATCTAGACTAATCACAGCGAGAATTATATGAGTGTAAATGTTAATTACGAATTACAGATTAAATGTTATGGCGTATTACTTTTTTTATGAATTAATTAGTGGATTATCTTTGCTTAATTTAGTTTTCATTCGGGGTTGTGGTGACGAGGGAGGGTGAATCAGCTTTGTTTACTAAGAACACGGTGAGAGTTTGTGAATGGGAGGCTGAGTTGTAGATATTTTGTACTTGTTTAGTAATAGTGGTTGTTACTGGTGGTTGTTTCAGCTTGCCACGTCTGAAGAGCATATCATTCCAGCTGACTGGTCACTGCTCCAGCAGTCTCCATCTGTTTTGGCCATCATCAAGTATCGTCTGTTTTCACTTGCTAACGTCTGAGCTGTTTTGCCACAGCCCAGCGCCATATCGTCTATGACGCATCATTCAGTTGTTTCTGCCACTGCTCCAGCTTGACCTGCTACCGTCCAGCCATGCCCTGGTCTGTTGACCTGCCACCGTCTGTTTTGCCATCAGCTTGCCATCGTCTGTTTGACCTGCTACTGCCTGCTGCTACCGTCCCTAGCCAAGTCTATCTGTTGACTTGCCACTGTCTAGTTGTTTTATGCATTCTGCAGATGATAGTTGATGCCATATGCTAAGATGATGACTATTATGCTAAGAGCGAGCCGACGATGCCATATATAAGAGTTTATTTTTGACTTGTTTTGTTATGTTGATGAGCTGATTATACAGATGCTATGTTGTTATTTTGACGATGTTGTTTATTTTGATTTGATGCTAAGATTTAATCAAATCAATCCAACTCCCTCAATTTCATCTATCCAATTCATCCTCCTATCATCTTTCTACCTCCATTGTGCTTTCTATCTCTGTGTTCCCTTTCTCTGTTTTTATTCTCATTTAATACTGCATATTGTGTTTCTTCTTTTTGATATTATTCTCTTCCTTCCCATCCTCCCTCTTCTTCCTTCCTTGTAGTTCTCATTTCTCTTCCTCTTCCACTCTTTCTCGTCTTTCTATCCCCCCCCCTCTCTCTCTCTCTGGCCTTTATCTACGTCTTCCATTCCCTCTACCTTTTCTTTTTTCATTTCTCTTCCCCCTCCCTCTTTCTTCCCCTCTTCATTCTCTTTTTTTTCTCCATGTATTTCTCATTCCCATTCCTTTCCCTGTTCTCCTCTTCCTTCTGCCACTGTTCCTATCTTCTCTCTTTATCTCCCTCTCTCATTCCTCTCCTTCCCTCTCATCCGTCGCAGATACGATGTACCATGATTGGTAACACAAAGAGGGGAGGTGGGTGGAGGAGGGGTGGGGGACGATAGGGCTGAGAAGGAGGGAGATAGTGGAGGAAGGAGGAGGACTGGGAAGGAGAGGGGAGGGGAAGACAGTGGATGGCAGGAGAGAGGGGTGGGGAGGGAGGGAAGAGAGGGAAGGGGGATAAGGCGGTATAAGACCCGGTAAGGGGATTCCCTACTCTAACAAGCTTCTCCCTGGCAACATCTTGGTTGGCCAAGGTACAAGGGGAGTGGGGTGTGAGTGGGAGAGGGGAGAGGGTGGGTTTCAGTGTATTAGGGTGAGAGGATTGGGTTGAATGGGTGGGTTTGGAGGGAGGGGTGATAGGATAGGTTGAGTGGAAGGGGTAAGAGGGTGGGGTGAGTAGGAAGGGTGAGGGAATTGTGTGAGAGGGAAGGGTTAAGGGAAATACACTGTAGGAGTGTAACAGGTGGAAAGGGAGATATAAAGAGGGATGGGTGAGGGGAAAAAGGGAAAGGAAGAAGGGAGGGAGGTGTGAGGAGAGAGAGGGGAAGGACGGTGTGGGGGGAAAGAGAAAATGAGATGATTTTAACCGTTCTTAGTAGTCTCCCCCTCCCCAGGTCCCTTCAGGTCCTCCCAAGGGGTTAAATGGACTTGGTAACGTCATTTACTTCTACCTCCACCACAACGCCACCCTCCTCCCATCAGTGTAGAAGAGTGATGAGTGTAATAAGTGACACGTCTGGTCAGCTCAGTGTCTATAATCCTCTCACTGATAAATACTATAGTCTGTACAGCAGCGCCTTGTACAGAAGTAATGTGGTAGAGGTGGACCTTGAAACAGTTGTCAGGAACATCTGCAGTCATCAGCCCAAGATAAGTGTTTACACTCGATCAATCGTACATTCGTGATAAAGGCGGAGGGGCGGTGACTATGATAACCTCTGAGGGCGTCCCCACACATACTCGTAACAACAAAAGTGGACCTATTTTTATCATTGTGATTTTTCTGGTTTTCGCTCCCATGGTCCACTATCGTGTGTACAGTAATTAACACCTCTGTATCTGCTCCCAAGGGCTTGATACAACGCTAGCTAGCTTCCTGTCCTCAGGGTCTCGTGTTCACGCCCCTAGTTCTTCCAGCTGTGAATGGGTACTTAACTTTTCAGTTGGAATGTGTAAGCGATCGAGTGCACTGCCTCCTGTACCAAAGACTTAAGTTACAATGTGTTGTGTACACATTGATTCTAATGCGCCGTGAGATTCATGTGGCCTGCGGTCACTACTTCTTACTGGTTTCCATTACTAAAAATTTCAGAGTTTATTTTTCTTAATAGAACAGCAGAACATTGTATTAAATGTAAAATATATCATGGTGCATTTTATTGACTTCCTCATAGCCGCTCCGGCTATCAGTTCAAACAACGCTGGCGGCTCCGTTGTACAGTTTCCTGGTTCCACACACTACTCTGGTCTTACTTTGCCTTGATATAGGTAGTCCAGCACATTTGTTCTAGACAGTGACACTAGAAGATGGCGACTGTGAGAAGAAATACTGTACAACTGTGAGATAAAGTTATTTCTTCCAGGGCGATGGTGTCAGACAGGATGCAGCTTCTTGCCTCCCACCAGTTAGTGTCAGTCTTGCTCAGGTAGTGGGAAACTATGATCAAGTGCAATTGTTGGTCGTAAATGATACACTTTTGTTTGTTTTTTGTTGCACTGATCATCTGGTGTGTGAGGTGAGGCGAGTGTTTACTCTAGTGTGTCAACATTGTGGTATCGACACCGAGTATTATCATATTTACTCCTAGAATATGTTTTCATATATATATATATAAACCTGTTGGCGTTACTGTGAAACTAAAACTGATATGAAAGGTTCGGTTTTAGGAGTCACTGGATAACATGAGGATAGATCTGCGTCCCAAGAGACACATAAATTAAGAGTTTATTTAGAGTACATTTAGTCATCAGGACACAGGTGATAGAGTAAAGCTGGTCGTCGACACGCTGCCTGGGGCTATGTGGTAGTGAACTGCTGCACCGCCACAGTAATGATCTGAAGAGTGATGAAATTCTGAAGGAGCCCACCAGGGTCTTATTATCTGATCTGTTCTACTGTTGCCAGGAAGGTCAACAGAGGCAGGTAACACGTCCAGCAGGCGTTGGTGACCTGGTTGGGAAACATGATCACATTTAGGTATTCTTGTTACAAGCTGAACAACACAAATATTAATTCAGCTTTGTATGTATTTTTTGTTGGTGATAATAGTTAAATCACCAAGTGTCTTTGTTGTAGTTATTATAAGTCTCTCTTCCATTTTCATCCTATACCTCTCCCCTCCCTCATCCTACCCTCCTCCTTTCTCAATTCTATACCTCTCTCCTCTCACCCCACCCTCCTTTCTTTCTCCCCCCTCTCCCCACTCCCGCCTCTCTCCATTATCCCCTCCTTCCTTCCAACCTTTTTCTAAATTGAGAAGTTTTGATCCGTATTCATATTCAATGTCTCTTTATGTTATTTATTTTAACATAGACAGTATTGTGTGTGTTATATTAATCCTGTTCGAGTGTGTGGATTAGTATGAGTTTGTTGTTGTGTTTGTCTGTTTGTCATCTTGGTTATCCTGTGTTTCGTGAAGTTTTTGTTTTGTTTTTGTGTTTCATATTTTGGTTTTGTTTTTCTGTTCAGTTTTTCCTTTTTTCTTTCTTTTTTTCTTCGTTTTTTACTCCATTTCCTCCTTATCTATCTTCTTCTGCTGCTTCTTTTTCGATTTGGTTTCATCATCGTCATCATTATTATTATTATTATTATTATTATTATTATTGCCAACATAAAAACATTCATGTCCTTATTCCAGTTTGTTGGATGATCACAATCAACAGTGGAATGTGTCCGTTGTACCTGACAGTTTGTCTTAAAGAGGTTGACCTTCCTGGTAGTATCTCATAAAGAGGTTGACCTTCCCAGTCAACAAAATTGTGGTCCATTTAGTGTCTCTCGTACTGTATGTTTGTCAGTACAGTTTTACATACAGGTGAGTCATCATCATCATGACAGTAAATCATTTAATATTTTCAGATAATCAAATACAACTTTTTCCATCTGTATCTGTAACGCCATTTTGTTTTGCTTTTCTAACAAACATTAAAACAATGAAAAAAAAATTTTGTTCATTCATTATGATGAAAGAAATTTAAATCTCAACCAGCCAAAACTCGTTTGAACTTTTACACTGCGATTTGTAAGTACAATGTAAGTATATTGTACCCTTTAAAAAACTAATTACTAGATTAATTAAAATGCTAAATTAAAACAACTCCACCTACCCCTCCCTCCCCCTTAACATTTTAAAGCTCGTTCATTATTCATGTTGCTGACATATAATAATGTATATATAATATATATATATATATATATATATATATATATATATATATATATATATATATATATATATATATATTTCTGTTATTGATTTTACTAGTATTACTATAAACATTAGTAGTAGAATATAATATATGGTATTGGGGCGGCAGAGGCTGTTATACACATCCTGCCACCCCCCACCACCACCACCACCACCACCACCACCACCACCACCACCACCACCACCACCAACCATCTCACCCCAACACCACCACCACCAACCACCCCCACCCACCACCACCACCACCACCACCACCACCACCAACCATCCTGCCACCCCACCACCACCACCACCCAACCATCCTGCCACCCACCACCACCACCACCAACCATCCTGCCACCCCCAAGCCACCACCACCAACCACCCTGCCACCACCACCACCACCACCACCACCAACCATCCTGCCACCCACCACCACCACCACCAACCATCCTGCTACCCACCACCACCACCACCACCAACCATCCCTCACCCACCACCACCACCACCAACCATCCTGCCACCCACCACCACCACCACCAACCACCCTGCCACCCACCAACACCACCACCACCACCAACCATCCTGCTACCCACCAACACCACCACCACCAACCATCCTGCCACCCACCACCACCACCCAACCATCCTGCCACCCCACCACCACCACCACCAACCATCCTGCCACCACCACCACCACCACCAACCACCCTGCCACCCACCAACACCAACACCACCACCACCAACCACCTCCACCCACCAACACCACCACCACCAACCACCCCTGCCACCCACCAACACCACCACCACCAACCACCCTGCCACCCACCAACACCACCACCAACCACCCCACCCACCCACCAACACCACCACCACCAACCACCTGCCACCCACCAACACCACCACCACCAACCACCTGCCACCCACCAACACCACCACCAACCACCCTGCCACCCACCAACACCACCACCACCAACCACCCTGCCACCCACCAACACCACCACCACCACCACCACCAACCATCCTGCCACCCACCACCACCACCATCTTCCCTCAAAACAAAATGGGTGAGGTGGTGTAGTGACTAATGCAATAAAATAGTAACTCAGTTGTCCAGAGCTCGAACCCCCCAACGAGGAAGAATTATTTGACTGATATATATTTTCTACCTGAGTTAACTGAGGGAGTATGACTGTGTGTGTGTGTGTGTGTGTGTGTGTGTGTGTGTGTGTGTGTGTGTGTGTGTGTGTCAGCTCTTCCACGCCACAACATCCGTACACGAGAAAAATATAGATAAATAGATTAATATTAATGATGATGATAATGATGATGATGATGATGACAGTAGTCGTGATAATTTCTTTGCTTACTTTATTAGTTATGTCATTATTTGTCTCCTCGCTATTATATTTCTTCTTTCTCTCCTTACCTCCCTCCGACTACTTCCTTCCCTCCCTCTCTATCTCACTTTTACATCTCTTCTTCCTTCCCTCCCTTCTTACATCTCCCCTTCCTTCACTCCCTCCATAGGTTCCTCCCCTCTTATAATTCCTCTCTTTTCCCACAAGAAAAATCCCTTCCACCCTAATCCTTCCTCTCCCTCTTCCATCTCTTTCCCTTTCTCCTCTCCTTCACATTTCCACCCATTTCTGCTCCACCTTTCCTTACCGTACCAGCACTAACTCTACCCCCTCATCCATTTTCCCATAACGCCCAATATAAACCCTCCCTCCCCCCCCCTTCCATTCTTTCCTCTCCTCTCCTCCCCTTCTCTCTCCCGCCTCTCCCTTACCCTCCCTCCCCTCTCCTCTCTTCCTCTCCTCCCCTCCCCTCTCCCCTCCTCTCCTCTCCCTTCCTCCTCTCTCTCCCTATATATATAATCTTTAAATGGATTTCTCGCCAATGGTCTTCCAGCCTTCACGGATCATAACAAAATGCCGGGGTGATCCATTGATCCCTCCGACTGTCCTGGTGATCCTTCCTGTGAGCCTAGAGTGATCCTTCCTGTGAGCCTAGAGTGATCCTTCCTGTGAGCCTAAGTGATCCTTCCGTGAACCTAAGTGATCCTTCCTGTGAGCCTAAGTGATCCTTCCTGTGAGCCTAGAGTGATCCTTCCTGTGAGCCTAAGTGATCCTTCCTGTGAGCCTAGAGTGATCCTTCCTGTGAGCCTAGAGTGATCCTTCCCGTGAGCCTAGAGTGATCCTTCCTGTGAGCCTAGAGTGATCCTTCCTGTGAGCCTAAGTGATCCTTCCTGTGAGCCTAGAGTGATCCTTCCTGTGAGCCTAGAGTGATCCTTCCTGTGAGCCTAAGTGATCCTTCCTGTGAGCCTAAGTGATCCTTCCTGTGGCCTAGAGTGATCCTTCCTGTGAGCCTAGAGTGATCCTTCCTGTGAGCCTAGAGTGATCCTTCCCGTGAGCCTAGAGTGATCCTTCCTGTGAGCCTAAGTGATCCTTCCCGTGAGCCTAGAGTGATCCTTCCTGTGAGCCTAGGATCCTTCCCGTGAGCCTAGAGTGATCCTTCCTGTGAGCCTAGAGTATCCTTCCCGTGAGCCTAAGGATCCTTCCTGTGACCTAGAGTGATCCTTCTGGAGCCTAAGGATCCTTCCTGTGAGCCTAGAGTGATCCTTCCGTGAACCTAGAGTGATCCTTCCTGTGAGCCTAGAGTGATCCTCTGTGAGCCTAGAGTGATCCTTCCTGTGAGCCTAGAGTCTTTCCCGTGAACCTAAGTGATCCTTCCCGTGAGCCTAGAGTGATCCTTCTGTGAGCCTAGAGTGATTCTTCCTGTGAGCCTAGAGTGATCCTTCCCGTGAGCCTAGAGTGATCCTTCCGTGAGCCTAGAGTGATCCTTCCGTGAGCCTAGAGTGATCCTTCCGTGAGCCTAAGTGATCCTTCCTGTGAGCCTAGAGTGATCCTTCCTGTGAACCTGATGATCCTTCCCGTGAGCCTAGAGTGATCCCTTCCTGTGAGCCTAAGTGATCCTTCCTGTGAGCTAGAGTGATCCTTCCCGTGAGCCTAGAGTGATCCTTCCTGTGAGCCTAGAGTGATCCTTCCTGTGAGCCTAGAGTGATCCTTCCGTGAGCCTAGTGATCCTTCCGTGAGCCTAAGTGATCCTTCCGGAGCCTAAGTGATCCTTCCGTGAGCCTAGTGATCCTTCCCGTGAGCCTAGGTGATCCTTCCCGTGAGCCTAGAGTGATCCTTCCCGTGAGCCTAGAGTGATCCTTCCCGTGAGCCTAGAGTGATCCTTCCTGTGAGCCTAGAGTGATCCTTCCCGTGAGCCTAGAGTGATCCTTCCCGTGAGCCTAGAGTGATCCTTCCTGTGAGCCTAGAGTGATCCTTCCTGTGAACCTAGGTGATCCTTCCCGTGAGCCTAGAGTGATCCTTCCCTGAGCCTAAGTGATCCTTCCTGTGAGCCTAGAGGATCCTTCCCGTGAGCCTAGAGTGATCCTTCCCGTGAGCCTAAGTGATCCTTCCTGTGAGCCTAGAGTGATCCTTCGTGAGCCGGTGATCCTTCCTGTGAGCCTATGATCCTTCCCGTGAACCTAGGTGATCCTTCCCGTGAACCTAGAGTGATCCTTCCTGTGACCTAGAGTGATCCTTCCCGTGAACCTAGAGTGATCCTTCCCGTGAGCCTAGAGTGATCCTTCCCGTGAGCCTAGAGTGATCCTTCCCGTGAGCCTAGAGTGATCCTTCATCATCATCATCATCATCGTCTTGGTTTTATACTGTAATTAATGATGAATACTGTATAATCAAGGCTAATTCTTCATTATTTCCGTTTATCATATTCGCTTCTTCACTTCCTTATTTTTCTATTTACTTTTTTCGCATTCATAGTATTTTTATTTTATTTTTGTGTATTCGTCTGGGTCATTCTTCTTCCCGTTTTCTTTGGCTGTAGCTTCTGTGTGACGTCATCCTTTCATTATCAGGATTCCTTTGTGTCTCAGTTTAATATCCTCTCCTCTCTTCTTCCTTCCGTCACTATCACTCCCTTCCTTCTCTCTGTTCTTTGGATATTAATAATCGTCGTTTTTGTTAATTATCCTTCTTTTCTGCCCCTTACTTGTTGTGGCTTATTATCTCTCTCTCTCTCTCTCTCTCTCTCTCTCTCTCTCTCTCTCTCTCTCTCTCTCTCTCTCTCTCTCTCTCTCTCTCTCTCTCTCTCTCTCATTTCTATCTCCTCCCTTACTCCCAATTATCTACCTTACCTCTCCACCCCTTCTCTCTTTCCCTCTGTCTCTCTCATCTCCTTTACTCTGGCTTTCACCTTCTTCTCTGTCTCTCGCCCATAAGAGAACCTTCAAGTGTCTCTCTCTAGCCTGACGCCCACCATACATCACGCCCTTCTTCTCTCTGTAGCCTGACGCCCACCATACATCACGCCCTTCTCTCTCTAGCCTGACGCCCACCATACATCACGCCCATCTTCTCTCTGTAGCCTGACGCCCACCATACATCACGCCCTTCTCTCTCTAGCCTGACGCCCCACCGCCCACATCACGCCCTTCTTCTCTCTGTAGCCTGACGCCCACCATACATCACGCCCATCTTCTCTTTGTAGCCTGACGCCACCATACATCACGCCCATCTTCTCTCTCTGTGGCCCTGACGCCCACCATACATCACGCCC